TATATATATATAAATAACAGAAAAAAAAATAGTCTAAACCTTGTGGTATGCAAGAGAAGTTAATGAGAAGAAGATATAAATAGTAAGTTAATAAAGTATAAATATGTATGAAAATGGCTTTCATCAGCTGTAGATTGTTTAAATGTTGATCTTTCATTCAAAACTCGAAATATGTCAGTTGAAGAGCCTGTGTATTAAAATAAATTTGTAGCATAAGCTTTATATAAGCTCAATAAAATTAAAATAAAAACAATAAATTTCCGTGTTTCTATGTAACAGAAATCGCTTCTGACACTTTTGTCGCCACCTATAATGCTTTACTTCGCAGGGATGCCGGCCTACAGTTGCGCTAAGAATATGTCTGCTCCAGCCCAAACACACACACACACACACACAGACCCACACACAGATCCACTCACACCCACACTCACAAAAACACACACAGTTACACTCAGCTCTTGCAAATTTAATGGCAGCCACTGCTGTTGGCACTTACAGAGCGCCACCCGTAGAGCACCTCCCCCTCAAGCCGCAGCGCAGCCACGACACCTCAGTCGGAGAGCTCATGTTACAGACAATTTGCGTTAAATTTACAACTAACGCCGTTCAGCAAATGCCAGGCCGCTGAGATGCCGCAGCCGTGTGCCTTGTTGTTGTTCTTGTTGCTGTTGTTGTTGTTGGTTCGCGCAACCGCTGCGGTTGTTCTGCAGCAGCAGCGGCAACAGCAATTAAAGTGGATTTTCATGAAAATGAGTTTTCCTAATAGTTTATTTAGCCCGAAAATAAAATCATGGCGGTAGAGCGAATGCGTTGATTAACAGACGAGCGGCAGAGTGACGGAAAGAGAAAGACGCTCCGCCTGCTGCAGGTAATCCGACACTTTGCATAGCCATGAAGATAAGACGAGCATGAGGCTGGCTGGGCCAAGGATAAGAATCGGGTTGCCATAGACTCAGCTGACACAGCTGCCTCGCTTGTAAGCTCAATCTGAAGCACTGACATATAATATTAGGTGTTATTATATAACAAGGGCTTAAGCGCCCATTCGTGTTGAGTGGAAGGACAGGTAAGCTGAGTGGAATTCATTGGCCATTAGTTTGATAATTTCGTTCAAGTGCTTGTGTTGGGGTCGTCTATTAATTAGCGTTTAAGCTGCATGAATTACACCTAAATCAGCTGCACATTAATGAGCAGTCAATGCCGCTGGTTGCACCCACAGATTACTCATACGCCCCGCATGACAACGACGAAGACGACTACACTAATGAATATCTCGTGTTGCAAATCGATTGACACAGCATGCTCACAAATCATTGCGCTGGCTCCTGGCAACAGTTTTAATGTGTCTCAAACACTGACAAGCTAATTAACTTTCAGCCAGGCCGACTCGGCTGGCCCTCAAGACTCGAGCACCCTCGGCCACTTGGCCAGGCTAAATGGCGGAGGAAGAAAGGGGGAGGCGGAAGCGAATGCCAGCAAAACGGACTCAGCTTCAATTCGCCTGTGAGATGGGTATTTACATTTAGATTTTGTTTTGATTTTTGGTTTTGCCACTCAACGATGGGCAGCAGCAGCTTAAATGTAACGCCTGCATATCTAGACATATTTTTTCGTATGTTTACTTTTGTCGAATCTCTCGATTCGTTATATACCTCTACTCGTATATAGCGTATAAATTTCCTGCTGGCAAAAACTAAATAACTTCAAACGGCTTTGGCGGCGCACTTGAAGCAACCAACTTTGAGCGCGCTCAAGGCAACTTGATCGATAAGTGGGCAATAATAAAGGCAATTTTGAAAACTACTTACGCTCTTGGATGGCTTCTTGGAACGTACCTGCAATAGAGAGAAGGTAATTGAAAACTAATTAAAGTTTCGCATCTAAAGTCAATCTCGAAACGGCGAAAGCTCATTTTGAATATGATATGATGTATAATGTGCACTTGGAGCGCTTTGGCTGGAGTAAGTGCCAAAGCAGATGATGATAAAGATATTGTATATATGTTTGTGTTTGAGTGTGTGTGTGCATCATTAAATGCAGATACAATTGCAGCCCAGACCCAGCATCCATCATTGTCAGCTACGCGCCCACACAGCGAGCGTCTTAGAGCAGACAAATCAGGCGATTGACTGTGGCCCTGGCATACAAAAAGAAAAGGAAAGGAAAGGAAACAGAAATATAACGCAGACACTGCGGCAATATATGACTTGAGCTATATAGTTACAATATAGGCAACAGCAACAGCAATAGCAACAGCAATAGCAGCAGCAGGAGCAGCTCAATAGGCGCCATTATGCATTCTGGTCGTGTTCTTTCGTGTGTGCTGAAGCACCTCATGTTGCACGCTGCTAATCAATCATGGGTTAGCTGCAGTTGGAGCGGCTGCTCTTCCAGCTGCTGCTCTCAATGGGCAATTATTGATTGATGCCAAGTGCAGAGCGCTCTGGGGGCGTCATTCAAGTGGCCAACGCTGCCTTGTAACCCTGATCTGGTGCCCTTTTTTGTATGGAATCTTGGGCCTGTTGTCAATGCAGTCGATGCGGCTTGCCATGTCAATGTTAAGATTTTAGGCATTGAAAATATCCTTTGCAAGCTTGGTTGTCTTTTTGCTTCTTTTTTTCGTTGTATTCCCTTTGTCTTTAACGGCCCGAGAGCTTAAAGTATTTATTCGCCCTGACTATAGGATTTTCTGCAACAACACAAAGTATTCCCTATCTGCTTGCTGCTGATATCAATTTGCTGGTTTTGTTGGCGTTCTAAAATTTCTGAAATTTAAATATTTTCCAACAACTACCATAATTTAAGCATTTTACGGTCTTCATTTCTGAAGAGTTTCGCTTGGGCATCGTCAACCTGTCCATATTGTATACATATTTATGGCAGTCCTTTGTATTCGTAAACAACAAATCAAAATAAACACCCCGAATTCAGGGAACTTTTGCTGCGCGCCCTGAGAAGTATGCTTCAGAAATTGTATTTCCATTTGGGATGACTTAAAAGTTGTTGCTGCGGCTTTGATTGTATTAGCATATTATTTGATTTCAATTTGACGAATGCTGAGCATATATTTAAGTTGTGCGTGAGCTCAACACAATGGATATCTTTAAATAAGTCCCGAAAATTAAGCGCAGCTGCGTAACTAACAGACGACATCTTGATGTTGGTGTTGATAAGACAAAGCGCAAAATATAAAGACAAATAAAACTATAAATATGGCAGCTCTCCTTTCTTTATCTCCGACCTCGCTCATCAGTTGAGAGGCAGAACTTATTTACATAAGTGTTGGCGCACGTGTTTGATATTTCGTTTAGTTTTATGCCAGACTCAAACACCCACACACATACATAAGCAGAAGTGAATTTACACACACACACACACACACACACAAATACTGGATCCCGTTGATAATTCAATAAACTAAACAAGACTCTGCACAAGATTTATGGGTTTGCTGAACCCACACGTTAGACCCAGGCCAGAAAACCACGCTGAGAGGTTTATAAATCTTCATTTCAACACACACACACAAGCACATACACACACATATCTTCATCTTCATCTTCAGCTAGAGCTTCGAGTGACATCACGGCGGCAGTGGGCGTGCTTATTAAAATGCTATCTGTACGACGCTTCGTAGCCCAATTTAAAATTGGCTTCCATAATGAACGGCACGCAGCTGCTCTGTGAATTGCCAACACTTATGCTCAATAAATGTCCATAAATTTGTAGCACAATGCGCGCTACGGGCGTGCCATTAAAATGCACGGGCCATGCCACAAGGTAGGCAACAGACAAATGTCAAAAATAAAATATGCTCTCTTATGTATTCTCAGCTGTGCACAAACAGACAAACGCACACGCACACACAAACACACACAGACAGACAGGCACACATAGGTCTGTGTGGGTGTGGCGGTTGTACAAGTATCGTAAATCTGTGTATTATTTTCGCGGCATAACGTTGTAATATATGTATTTATTGTTGTTTATTTTTTTTCGTTCCCCGATTTTTTGTTGTTTTTGAAAATCCAAATATTTGTTACAGCCACGCCCACACTGACAGCTGTGCCGCTGCTAGCCGCTGGCTACAGGCAGCGCCTCCAGCCTCCCACCTCCCACCTCCCGCCATCCGCCTTAACGTGCACACATTAAATTGATGGCCAAAACGGCAGCATTTGCCAGGCAGCCAGCATTGATTAATTGACAGTTGACTCAGCGGCATTTTCGAGAGCGCACAGTCACTTCTCCCTCCCTCCCTCTCCCTCTCTCCATCTCTCACCCTCTGTGTAGGTGTTGTTTTGACTTGAGCTTTGCCTAATGCCCAGCATTTTTTATATGTCAATAATGCCAAAAGCGATTTTTGCCGCATTACACAAAACTGCATTAAATTTCAGTCCATTAGACATGTCGCAATTTTTGTTGTCTTTGCTGTCGTTGTTGTTGGCAATCTACCACAACTGGCCTAAATGTCTTTGGACATTCTCTATCTGCAGTTTACGCATCAGTGAGTGCATTTCTTGACGCTATCGCCGCATGCAAATTAACATTGTTCAATTTGGCCATGCAAATGAGCCAAATTTAAATTGTGTACAAAATTCTTCGAATAGAAAGAGCTGAATGATTTCACAATAGGAATAGAAAGAGAGATAGCGAGAGAGAGAGAGAAAGAGAAAGAGGGACAAATACCAAAGACTAATTGGATTTGAATTGAATTGAATATTTAATTCGTAAGCCAACTCTTGTTTTTATTAATGAAGAGAGAGAGAGAGAGTGAGATAAAAGCTAAAACTTTTTCGGTATTGAATAGAGAAAGTGAGAGAGAGAGACAGAGAAATAGTTAAAAAGTGAAAACTGATTCCGAATGGTATTAAAACCTCTCCATTTTTTAAGTAGGAGGAGAGAAAAGAGAGAGAGAGAGAGAGCGAGATTGAATTAAATTGTGAGCAGCGATTCTGAATTGAATATTTAATTCAAAAGCCAACTCTTCGTTTTGTTACTAAATAGAATGAGAGAGATATAAATAAAACATATGAAAATGGTTTCGGAGAGAGAGAGACAGAGAGAGAACCCATGAAAACTGTTTCGGAATTGAATGCTTAACTCTTAAGCTAACTCTCCACTTTTTTTCGTTTGTTTTCGATTTTGCTTTCTAATTGGCCTATTTCCTTTCGGTAATTGGTTTTCGCATCTAGCCCAGTTCGAATCCAATTCGAAATACGAATAATATAACTGCATAGTCTGTTGGCCCAGGCCCGTTCGAATCAATTGACAGCTAATTACAAACTACTAACAGTCGCAATTACATACGTTTGGGCAATGTGATTTTACGTCAAAGCACAATCAAATTGCAAAGCCCTCGATATTTGCATAAACTCAACGACGGCATTGGAATACTTGGGCACGTCGAGGACATTGAGTGTATTGAGAGCAAAATGCACAAATTGTTGCCATGCAAACGCATATTCATAAAACGTGACATTTGATGTAAGGTTGAATTTTAGTCATGGCATCGACTGGCCTTAAATGTGTGTGTGTAAATATTCTACGTATATATCTGTATGTATGTATTTGAGGACTTTTTGCAGAAACGGTAGAAAAACTCAAAATGAAACACAATTTACATATATTCATTTGAGGGCAGGTGATGATAGGAGAACAGGAAAGGGGAAGCGACAGAGCTAAAAGTGTGTAGATTTTTATGCGCACTCACACATGCGCACACACTGCCACGCCCACTGTTCGTATGTCAACTCAGAGTGTTGTAAAGGTAAACCAAGCGACCTAAGCCTAATCTGCATAATAATAAACCACACTCACACACATACACCCACACACACACATACTCAATTTCGCTTACAAAAAGTACCAAATTGCCACCTTAACATTCGCTGCCTGCAGCCTTTCCCATCTCGCCCAGTAAGCTCTCAACTTTGCCCACTTGCCATATTTAATATTGTGTAAATTGAATTTCCATCACTTTATGATTACTTGAAGCTTTCAAACGGAAATCTAACGGACACAGGCGTCTCGGCCCAGTCAACCCAACGCCACCCAATTGACTTCAGTTTCATGAAGCAGGTGAAACAAAACTAAATCTGATTTACGAGTTGAAGATCCTTAAGTAGCCGTAAATGGTATGGAAATGGATAAATGATTGATGTTTTATTTAGAATGTAATACATTTTATTCTAAAGTATAGAACATATTTTAATATGAAATGAAAATACATATATTCCGCTTCAATAAAATATATTTTTAAATTTTATTT